CGAAAACAATACTTATTTCGAAAAATAATATTATATAACATGATGTTAGTTTTAAAAGTTGTCTTTACTCTGAAGAGAAGACAATCAATATTTTTTGCCCAATCTATGATTCTCATTAAATTATCCATTTCTCAAAGATGAGTATTTTTAATACTCCATCTCGTAGAATCCAAAACAAATGCAGATTTTCAAAAATGAGTACATGAAGAAATATGGGATGCAAAAGGGATAGGAAATCTAATCTTTTATTGTATTGAAGCGATATCGAAGGAAAATATATACTTGTGATGTAAGAAGATGACTTGTCTGTTGCCTGGAGTGTGTAGTGTACTGTGTGTCACTTGTATTATCAATAGAGATGGCTTGTTGTGAAGCCCATTGTGCCCGCCAGACCATTGTGGATAACTTAGCCAACTACCTAGTTTAAGAATAAATACCATGCACTGTAAGTAGGAAGAGTTAGTGCATAAGTTAAATATCATTCTTTCTTAATTGAATATGTAAGGATGCATTAGCTTGCTTATATAGGGGATATAATCTGGTTTTAGCATCCGTGTAAACAGCGCCAAAGTCCTGCCAAGACCAACGGCTGACTGAACTTTCTTGCTAGTTAACACACAGGGAGCTAAAAAAATGCCCAAAACTCAGCCCTAATGCCTTTGTATAACAAGACGAATGCTAGGGTTGATATCAAAAAATATAATTGAGCGACGAGCTGGATCAGTTAGATAAGAAGAGGGCATTAAATAGGAAATTAGTAGAAAAAAAAATATAAAGAAAAACTTGGTTGTCTAGGCCAAAATATCAATGACTTAGATATAGGGCTTCAAATGTAAAATATGTTCCGATTAAGAGAACATAAAGAAAAACTGGATTGTCTTAAGCAAAAAGCCAGTCGCTTTGCATCTTGAACCAAAACTTTTCTAGTTATTCAGTAGAGGAATGAGGTAAAAAAAGAGATCCGACTAAATCAGAGTATTGCCTGCCAGTGTGACCGATCTAAATATGGTTCAATTACATTATAATCACATACCGCATTATTATACTATATTTTATAATCAGCAGGGTAAAAATCTTCCAAATCTAACACTAAATCTATCAGTTAGTTCATTGGTTTAAACTAGACTGGCGATTCATCAAACTAATCTAATTACTACATAAATGAGTATAAGATAGAATAAAGGCTAGGAGGAAATGAAAGCTAGCGGTCAAATCAAGATGATACCTGCGTTATCCCAAGTGCCAAGGGAGCAAGATCGGAAGCAGAGCCTGGTCGGAGTGCCCGTTGTTCAATGTCAAGCGTCAATTGATCCATATGGCGAGCCAGATTGAGCATCCGAATCTGGTAGTCATAAAATCGAGCCTCCACAGGTACCTGAACAATCTCCTCAGTCTGCAGAGATGATGAAAGAGGCAAGAAAGAAAAGAAAAAAGCAAAACAGTTAAGCAAAGTATACTTTTTTAGTAAAAACACGAATAGCTTAATGAAGGTAGTAGTTGCATTGGTGGTGATAGCAGGGAAGTTGGTAGTGTCGGGAATAGATAGAGTAAAGTTGAATTGATGATATTTTCATTTTGTTATATTCGATGGGCAATGGTGATTGTCCTTAAATTAACATCAATGGTGATCGTAGCAATATTAGTAGGGACAGAAGATTTGATGAAATAGCTATTGAGGCCAGCGATGAAGGTATAATCAGCAAATAAATCGTGTTTAGATAAAGTCAGGTCATCGTTGATGGCAAAGGCCAGTGATATGGCGGCTTCAATAGAGTAAAGATAAATTTTCGGGGATAAGGGGAAATAGGAATGAATAAAAATGAATAACAGGTATGTAGGGATTAAAGGATAGTGTAGCAGTGAGCTTGAGTGAGAGGAGTAATGGAAAATAACTCCCTAAAATGCTCAAATGCATGAGGGTCTATCAAAAAATGTAGTTAATCAAGAGAAAAGCGACAGATAAATGAAGCGAAAAAGCACAAATATTTAAGTTATTTTATGAGAAATTGGCGTTAAAAAAATGCTGATGAGCCTGTCGAAAAATGACTTGATATGGTATGATTAGCAAATGAAGCAGCTTTCAAGAAAAAAAATTTTCTTCAATATTTCCATTTCATTTGACATGAAAAAAAACATGAATCTGGATCCGCAAAAAGCTGGATCCAGAATCCAAAACCGCGATGATGTTAGTGGTTCTCAATCGGAAGAGATTACCTTTAAGTCTTGAAGATATTTTTAAAAATGCTAACAAAAAAGTATGAGCATTAATGTAGAAATGCCTGAAAAGAAGCTAAAATAGCCTTTCGAACGAATGAAATCACCCTGCGATACAACTTATCAGCTTTTTTAGTCGCCGAGCTAGATCAAGCTAACAGTTTCTAGGTCTGCATCAATGGATTTAGGACCATTTGATGCCACAATGAATGAAGCAAAGAATATTCTGTCGTTAGCTACGAAAGAAACATAATATGCTGCAGCCTTGTCTGGAACAGATTTGTATGCCAGGAATAGCGAGAGCATGAAAAGATAAGTGGATATCTCTAAATGCTTTGCCTAGAAAGAAAGATCGAAGTAAATAATAATATAAAATAGATCGACCGGAGACGACTATTGCGACGCATTTCACAATGCTCTGACAAATATCGATGTTTATAGAGTTGTTAATTGTCTGATTTGTCTAAATGTAAATGGTAAAGATCAGCACCAATGAGTTAGGCCGAGCTCGAGAAGTCACGTCTAAAACCGACAAGCAAAGGTACCAAGTTTTATAGAACAATAATGCTTTTATATCTCAGATGAAACACTATTGTTTTAACGAAGCTGCGAGAGTTTTTAATGTTTGACTGAGTGTAAAGTTTCTGTAACCCGTCTCTAATAGGCGGAGTTTAAATGATCTTGTCTCATTGTCTTTATGTCTCTTTTAAATCTTAGACTAAGAAATATAATAGAAGTTGTGTGATAGAAAGACCTAGAGGAGCACACCTAGTCCGGAGTCTACAGTATGCATGACAATTTCCAGAGTTGGACCGTGGACTCTGTTAATGATCATGCATACAATGGACTCCAAACTAGGTGTGTACCTCTAGGTCTTCCTACCAATATGGCCAAGTTGCGAAAGCAGGGTCAAACAACCTGTATAGAATGAAAGGAGACTGCGACCATACAAAAGGATATACCATCTTGGTCTTCATACCTTCGATTAAGAAATATAAACGTTTTGGTGTGTAACTTCAATGGAAGTTGGCAAACAAGTAAATCAAGCAAATGACCAGAGAAATCAATGTTCATTAATTATGTTTCTCTTCAAGAGGTCGAATTTGCTGGGAATATCGACATCGGTGCAAATGTCTAGGCAAGGGATAAAAGAAGCTTCCTTGAGGCATCATTATATGCAAAGAATTTATCAGCAAGAATAGGCACTAATGGACGCCTCACACCGACTTACTATTTCCCTTTATGCAATAAGGAGGCGATTTGTGTATTGAACATACGTCTCTGAAACTCTGTTAAATATGAAATGAGAAGGTTTTGTTGTAAATAAGACCCATTGGCATGGCTGATAAAATGGGCAAAACACTTTTATAAAGGCAGAGTAGTAAGCAAGGGACTTATCCTTAGGATTGCATGTGCTCATCGCAAATATTTTTCAGTTGCGTCATTTTCCCAGGAATAAGATTCTTTCAACTGCACTTTATGATCACTTAGGCCGCAATCACTTTTCCTCATTATCTTATGTCGAATTATTTTCATTTTCTGCTTCTGGTGTTACTGAGTTATAATTTGAAACACCTTGAATAGTGGAATACTTCTTAATTAAATAGTCTAGTAAAAAGATAACAAAGTATCAATTACTCAAAAGGCCCTGCTGAGGCAAGTGGGCTGGCCAAAAAACGTTTTACTTCGAACAAAACAGCATGAATAAAGGCTTAAGTCAAGTAATTGTAATAGTACGAGCTGCTTATTGATGTCTCAAGACAGACGAATTACGAGACTTGAAGCAGAAAGTGTCAATTATCTTTAGCTGTATCATCATCATTAATTCCTCTTATTCTTCCCTCTAGCTGACTAGAAAATGATGGATTTGGCAGAAAGTACAGAGAAGGATTCAGTCCTCAGAGCATAAAAACCAATAACTTGGCAACTTTCAGCATCATCCCTGAATTGAGTTTAAGAAGTGAAAATAGACGCAGCAACTTGTAAGGTATGAATGACGGGAAAAGTGAAAATCGAGCTCTAGCAAAAAAGTGAAAGTGCTATCCGGTAAGGTTGATGTAATAACGACAAAAAAAGATTCGAAACACGTCTATGTAAAAGCAATTTCAAGGAAACTCAAAAGCTTACCTTTCCATCGGCCAACAAAGATGACCTGAATTAAAAAGAATTTTTGATATTTTAACTGAGATAGCATAGAGCTTTGGTGAGCATCTTGGCAGACGGAGGAGACCAAAAGGAAACAATTGAGCAAATATTTCTTGCAATGGTACCTGTAAACTAACTGACCTTAGAAGCTCGATACGCAATATGTGGGAAATGAATAAGCTGATGAACTCCAGGAGACTTGGATCTATGACTTAAATTGAATTAAATATACGAATCTATTGGCATAGTAAGACTGGCTCAAACCCATGGTTAACCAGATTTATTCAGTTGAAGTGAGTCTGCAATAAACTATATTAATCTTGATATAGTTTGCTAGATAAAAAGGTACATCATCAATTTAAATGAAAAAGGATGAATACATCTCATAGATAAAAAGAGACCGGTAGAGAGATCTCAGCTCACAATAGCGAGCGGTTAACTGGCGGCGTGCCTACAAGTACAAGAAACCCCCATTCGGTACAGAAGAACAATTCTTCTATGGCTATCAAATCAAGTCAAGTAAGGCTCAGATATATCGTACAAACCATTTTAAAGAGCAAATTCATCATCAATTTAGGTACCCCCAGAAGAAGATAAGCAACCCATGGCTGTGGGTCTGTAGTATTTATGTTGATCGTTTATTCCAAATTCATTAGTGAGTTTTACTGACTCAACCATAAGTGAATTGGGACTTCGTCTATGTAGTTTGTGAACCCGTATGAGTCCAAGAACAAATTTTTATCCCGTTAAAAATGGATCCTGATGAGAGTTACAATCAAAAAAGAAGGTAATGCCCTTGTTATTAACCTTTATATTAGCATAATTCATAAGCTCTCAAAGTAAACAAGTCTCTGTGAAGGATTTCAGAATACCAACGAAGATAGGTTAGTAATGAATATGAATTCACCACAAGAAATATGATAAAATTGCACAAGCGAAAAGGAGATGTAGTCAATAATATTCAAAGAAATAATGAGGTCTGCTCATATAAATGTGGAAGAACTATCAGATAGTTAACTTGGTGTAAATTTCGAGACTATCAGAAATTCGTGAATAAGATATCGCATTCATGGCAAATCAGGATTTAGTGACAACATAGGGCTGGGTATGCTAGTATGTGGGAAAGAACGATGTAGTGAGGATGACTAGCGATTCTGACTGGAATAATTACCATGAGTACTGTAGAAGAAAAAAGTAAGTAAAAATAAACTTGCCTCGCCCATTTACTTTTATCTCTTGCAGTACTGATGATGATTATTCCAATCAAAATGGACAAATATTTTGAACTTACTTATGCAACATCAGAACCACGGGCATAATTCAAGCCCAGAACATGCCGGCTAGAAAGCTCTTTAGAGAGGGAAAGAAGCCTTATAGTGCATTGTTGATAGCATACGAATAAATATCTCTAATAATACATTACAAAAAGTATACCTTATAAACAGTTTATTTGATGACTTAACAGAGACAGAAAAACAATGAATAGAAGGGAGAAGACATAAATTGTCCGGACGACTTTATATGGCAAGAAATGAACAGAAGGCTGGACTATAAAAATAAACAAGAAGATACGTTTGTAGGGTGGATGGAAAGAAAGCACTCACCTTGCTTGGTCCCAGCTGGAAAAAGAAAGAATTCGGAAGTAAAATGACTCAGGTCATTCTTAGAAGCCTAGATAAACAGTGAATTATACAGGTTTAAAAACAAATAAATTTTAATTTTACGAAGGTATGAAGACCAGGATGGTGTGGCCGTTTGTGTGGTCGCAATCTCCTTTCGTTTTATAGAGGTTGGTTAACCTTGGTTTCTCAACTTAGTCATGTTAGCAGGTAGACCTAGAGAAACGCACCTTGTCCAGAGTCCATAGTATGCATGATCATTTGCAGAGTCGGACCGTGGACTTGGTACATTACCAGACGTTTCGCCGGCATCGTAGTGGGCATCATCAGTAACCAAGCTAAAACTCGTCAGAGAGAAATTGTGATAGTGCAGAAATGATACGAAGATATAGGATTGGTGAATAGCCAATAGCAGAAGGAGAGATACCACAATTAGTTAGCAGACAATTGGCCAAAGAATCGGCTTCATTTGTCCATGACATGTTGTAGTGTGTTGCTACGGGTAGCAAAGCTCACTGACGATGCCGATAAAACGTCTGGGAATGTACCCCGTCTATGTTCCATGGAATTTATCATGCATACCATGGAATAGATACCCGGAATAGATGCGTTCCTATAGGTCTTCCTACAAATAAGACCAAGGCAAGAACAAGGTCAAATAATTATAACAATTTATGTTAAATCAACCCATAAATGTGAATATAAGTAAAAGGATCAATATAGAGATGAAGAGTATGGCATATTATTAATAAATTTTGCTCCAGGAAGAAATTCAATGTTTTGAAGAGTGGAATGTAAACAAGTCGGAAGTTGTGATAGGGCGACAGTGGGATAAGAGGGTAAAGAGTAGATAGATAGGCCAGGACAGAAAGAGGAGTAATAGTGTAACCGTTTTGGCAGAACATTTGTCGAGGGATTGACTTTACTTGTCTCTTTAACGAGTTTGTAGCTTGGTGTGGAGAATGGCAAAACTCACTGATGATGCCGACTACGATGCCAGTGAAAGATTTAAGAATCTACCAAGTCCACTGTCTGATGCTGGGAATCATGATAACTACTATGGCAGACGACTTCGGACTAGGTGTGTTCTACAAAGTCGCCCTAACAACAAAACCAAGTTGCGACAACAAGGTCAACCCACTTCTATAAATCTAAAGGAGACTGCGACCATAACAGAGGTCACAACATCTTTGTCTTCATAGCTTTATTTATTTAAGCCTGCAGTTTGGAAAAAGACACACGTACTTGTGGGGAAATAAAAATTGCTTAACCGAAAATCTTAAGACAATAGTTAGAGAGTCAAGACTTTTCTATTGAGGCATTACTTGCCCATTTAACAGCCAATTTTTCATTTTAATGCAGTTAAAATAATTTTCGAAGCAGGACCCAGGAGAAGAAGAAAAAATGTTAATGAAGCTTCAAAACATTTAATACATTCAGAGACTTGATAAACCAAAGAGGTACAGGGAGAAAATAAGTCTGTACTCGTAAAAAATATTGACATGGATATAAAATAAAAATATTTATGTACAGATGTGTGAGTATGAGCTTTAAGGGTGCTTCCGATTGCTTATCTCTTGCAAACGTCGAAAAAATAGGCATTAAATATCTAATTTCTTGTTATTCGTCAGAGGAAATAGGGCATAAATAATAAATAAATGCGACATACTCTTACTCTTAAGCTTACCACACTCCTACAAATTTCATAATAACTTGGATTATTGCAGCACAGATGCTAATTATACTTCAACCATAACTTAGCAATCAAGCTATACTTTTAAAAAGACTGAGACAAGATGACAATGATTATGTTAGATGGATTAGATTCAGTAGATGATTGTAGTTATACTCATGACAATAGTAAGGTTTTTAAGCAGTGACAATTACTTTGACAATTGGAGACGACAATAACTTGAATGAAATTTTTAAGCGTGCTGATATTGGTATCACGTTGGTGGAAGCTAGCTTAAAACATCTCATAAAAGTTTGAAAAACTAAGGACCTTACTTATACATTATGTAGGCCTTAGTGGTATCAGAATTTTTTATGTGCCTGTGCGTGTGTGTGTGCGCACGGCGAGTCAATAATGAACCGACCTGTGCCGTCGAGCGGACTAATGTGTCCACAATTGTGTTGATGTGGCCCTGGCGGGCTGCAATCTCATCCAAGGCCGTCAGCAGGTCTTCGCATGACTCCATGGTACCACGAACGGCTTCATCAATTGACTCATGTAAATGGACCGCCTGAGACGAATGACGATGTAGCACCAGTTTTCATCAGAAGGGGTATGGGGAACATGTTATGGAGGGGAAATAAGGAGTACATAAGAAGATATATGCAAAGGAGGATGCAAATAAGACCAGATATCAAAAATCACTTGGCCCATGGGTTGATAAAGTAGAAGAGCGAAGGGACGATGGTGGAAGGAGAAAAAGGTCAGTGCAGAGCTTCAAATAGTAGGAAACTCTGCGCCATTATATCAGTTAATCAAGTAGTCAAAAGGCTAAGGACGTAAAACTAGAGGCGTAGACGGGTGGAAACATATTAATTTTGGTGTTAGAGGAAAAGGGAAGGCGCTAGGATGATCTTCGGAGTAAAGAAATATGATAGAAAAAGAAGTAAAATAGGTGATAAAGTATGGCCCCTGTGAGAGTGAGAAAAAGAGAGTGAACATGGGCATTGAGGGCAGAACAGTGGGCCAAAAACAGAGGATAAAAGACAAGAATGCGGCGAAAATTGGCTTTAAGATTGGAGTACGGACAAAACAAAAAAGATATTGGAGTACCTTTCGTTTCGTTTGAAGAGGCGAGTGGAAGGGATTTGTAAGTTGGCCTCGCCGAAAGCAGACGGGAGATTGCCTATGAGCTTTAACTGTATATTTGTGCAAATAAGTTCTCGGCGCTTTATTCGGTCATGTGATGTACATTGTCAGGAAACACATTTATGAGGTTAAAGTAGGAGCAGGCATCT